TACCATATACACAAAGCGGACCTCGCGTCCCTAAGCCAGTTGTCCTGTAGTCGAAGGACACTGTCTATATCTGGCTTGTTGTAGTTTACCCCGGAGTGCACCATATCGCTGTCTTCATTCACTGCCCAGCTCATACCTGATGGTACTCACCTAGACTCAACAACAGCAACAGAGGGGTACTGACAAGGGCCGTGACTGTCGTCGGGCGTGCTCGTATTGGGTCTAAAGGGCATCCAGGTCTCCCCGATGGCCCAACCAAAGCCAGAACCCCGAGAATGGACACACCAGGTCTTCATAGATGGATGGGCTCCCTCCCTAGCCCAGGACGATTGAACAAACCCTCCACCGATACTGTATCTACCCACTACCACTATAAGGTTTATCGACTATGACAAAAAAGTCGGAAATCTCTCACTGGCCGTTCTGGCATTTAGCACATCGGCCCTCTATGTGATGATTTAGCAGATGCCCGGTATAGATCTCCCCCTTCTCACAGCTCGTGCTGCAGGGTATATCATGTAGGGGGTCTGGGACCTGGCCAAGACCCTCCCCTGGCGAGAGCCTCCAGATGGTGACTACCTCGCAACTACTGTCCCCATGTGAAAGCCTCTCAGCAAAGATGCTTATGTGATTGGCGCCATCGTCGCGTGCATGTGGGGTTCGGCAGTCCTCTAGGACAGAGTATACTACATCTTGTGGCCCACAATGGCCTCCCCAACTGCAGGGGATAGTAAAGAAGAGAGTCAGATATCGAGATAGCATAGCCAAGTCTTGCAAGGTCTGGCAATAGCTACTACGTCTGTTTGCCCTTCTAATTGACAACCCAAGCCTCCCATACAATCATGGACGTCTGCGCATGCCATTCCCATCCTAATCATCCTCCCCATCGGAAGAGGAATCCTCCGAGCTCTCCTCCTCTTCCTCACTATCATGGTCATCATCGATTCCCGTACCTGCACCCACACGTACAATTAAACTAGTCCCTTAGGACTGACAAAGTAGGAGGTCCATCCATTTCCGCAGCACCACTTGGAACTCCTCTACAGTGGCGTCCCCAGGTTCTAGAGCAGACACTGAGTAGGTTACCCAACTCAGCCACAGCAATGATGACAGGACTCATCATCTACGTTCTTCTGCTGCCTTCAAAGCCTCCGGAAAGTTTCTCACATTCAAATGCATGAGGAAACGCGCCTTCAAATTGAGGACCTGTCGGAAGGGTTCATCAGCTGCATTGCTCGGGCTCCACCTACCGTTCCGTTAGTCGCCATCTCGTCAACTTGCTCGACCGTCCGATCCCTATCCCCTCTCCCACTGGTCATGCTATTCCAGTCTGTTGCCGTACTAGGACGGGTCGAAACACTTCCACTTTGTACAAGGGGCACTACTGGTTCCCCTGAGGGCCCTCTGTCATCCATGTCTTCGTAATCTACTATGCAGCGCTAAAGAATTGACCATCGACTAACAACACAAGCCACACTTCATGATGGCAAACGCCTCGAGACTGGATTGTATGGGAACATCGGACGTGAAGTCGTGATACTATCCAGGGCCGATTAAACACTCTGCTGTGGGAATTACTATAGAGTCGTCCACTAGCCGTGATCAACCCCAGTACCTCCATATAGGAATACCAGACGTGGCATTACCCATTATGAACCACTGAACGCGTAACCACTGAATACTCGAATACTTCCCTATGAAGATTGGCCACTCAGAACTCATCATCATATCAATGCTTGCCGTGCTCTCAACAGCTTATATCGTGTGTTCCGACACAGCCTGGGAGAGGACGCCCGTAAAGAGCGGTCTCTCTGTATACTATACACCACGCGATATGCACCTCAACACCGTACGAAAATGATGATGATAATCGAAAAAGTCTCCCGTAGACTCGGTGTCTAACGAGATCGTCGGCAGAGGGCAATATCGATTCAAATGGTACATGACTATGTCAAAAGGGTGTTGTCAAAAAAGGATCGTCTTATATACTGCTGTTATAGTCGATGCAGCAATGCTGAGGCCATGAGGGATAGGCACAGACTAATTGTGCTGCTGGCCGTGTTCATGGTAAGGGGATCACCCTGGGCTAGCATGTCGACAGGGACGAGCAGGGTGGTGATGATTCGGTCTATGACCTTGCGAGAGCAAGGCAGATTTACAATGATCGTCACCATGGCGAAGCGAAGAATTGTCAACCGCCACAGTGCGCGGAGAGAGACGTCTACCATATAGAGTACCGTGACAGGAAAGGGAAGGCTGCCTTC